GCCCATACTTCTACCCTTTGATTAGGGTTGATGGCCTGCTTTTTAGCACCTTTAGAATTAAGGGTTTAGGGTTTAGGGTTTAGGGTTAATTACACATGCTAAGCCCGGGCTTACATGGGGGTTTCCCAAAATTGAATGGGTTTATAGGGGGTTATATAGGGATAATGGAAAAGAACATGGAAACTACTATTTAGGGTTCAGGGTTTCCCCTACTATTTAGGGTTTCCCGAAATTAGGGGTAACATTTTCGGAGTCCCAATAAGGATTATAGTATTAGCAGGTCTATATTGGGTTCCCCTTATTTTGGGAAACTACCACATGTAGTAGCCCTAAACCCTAGTACTTGCCAGGAAGACATCGACATCTTCAGCTTCAAGCTATCCCCGGATGACCTGGCACAGCTAGAGAAGTTTGCTTAGCAGAACGGTTGCAGGGGTTCCAAACTAGGGGTACTCTGAGAATCCCGTGGTAAGACTAGTAGCGTTTGGGGGTATAGTAGACATTTTGTTCTTGTAAATGCCCACTTGAGAACATCTCAAAACGGGTTTAAAGCCTTGAACCCTCAAACTCAAGCGTAGGATCCCTATCTTTGTTGCACTGGTGGGCCTGCATCAGGGACTCCTAGTTTCGAGGCAGTCCCCTTTCGAAGAGGCTGAGCGCGTGGAACAAAAAAGTTTTCTAGGGGTTTGGGGCTTAAGGTTTCGGTTTATACTCCCCCTTAAGTAGATAGAATATGGGATATGTGGGGATCTTATTATAATATACCCAAAGCCATATTCTATCTACTTAAGGGGGACTATAGGGTTGGGAATGCTGTTTGTGTTATCTACCGTTTATTGGCCACCTACGGGCCACAGCCATGCTTTCTGGTACCTTGTAAAAGGCGCGGGCTACGGCCAGCCATGTGCGTTTCAAATCTGAAGGGTTGTTCTACATGATTACCGTAAGGGTCCAAGGACCCAAATAATAGGCCTTTAGGACCCAAATACTATAATATTAATGGTATTTGGGCCCTAAAACCCTATTATTTGGGTCCTTGGACCCTTAGGGTTAGGGAACTTCCGTAGATAGGCGGACCCCAACATAGACCGACAAATATCACAATACTTGGCATAGGCACCGCAGAAAAGGAACCCCAAATCTATGGAAACCCCAGCAGGTTCCTTCGAAATTCAGGGATTCAATGTAGGTACTATGCGCACACCCAGGGGCTGAAAGTAGGCGTAGCAAATCAACAAAAACAAGAGAGAAGAATCCCCAACCCCGAGGCGCCCATCAGGATATGTGGTTTAGGGTTGAGCGTGTTGAGGGTTTGGTGACAAAGCGTCTCTCATTTAGGTACTTCAAGGCCCAAGTATATACCATACAGGTATCCAAAAAAGGGGCCTAAACCCTAAACCCTAACCCCCAAAAAAACAATAATCCTTGTTATAGGGACTTCCAAACAAAAAGGACTCCAACCCGAGAGGCCTCAACCTTCAACTTACTTTCTGGAAAGATCCTCACCCCGGGGCTCCATGCCTACCAGGACCCTCCTTGTACCCTTAATTGGGGGAGATATGGTCCCTAATAGTAGGTACTTAGGCCCTAATAGAGGGTAGGAGGAAGGTCTAGGTATAAACAATACCTTCAAGTTGGGCCCTAAAGTCTATAAATGGTACCTACATTGCGTTTTTTTAGCCTTAGGGTCATGGTTCCTGCTTGCAGACTGCCGAGTCGGCCGAAGACGCTGGGCAGTCACGGGCAGTGCCTGATCCCGAGAGGATTGCTTGAGCTTTTGTCTAAATTCCTTAAAGGGTGGTTATATAGGGAAATTGGGGAGTATCATTAGGATTAATTAAGGAGGATACTAGGAGTTTTGACTCTAGCTTGCTTGGAGATTCAAGGGGCCTAGTACCCATTGAAAAGCGGTTTAGGGCTTCGGTGCATTAAAGTTTGAGGGATGGGGGTTAAAGGTTCTAGGGTGTAAGGGGTCAAGGTTCGGGGCAAGGTTGGGTTCGTAGGACGAAGTAACTTCCTAATGCTGGGGTTGTAAGACCTTATAGCTCTAGTTATGATGGTCTCATCCCTAAACCCTAAACCGAACCCCTGGAAGGCCACTGCCGCGGACTACGAATAGGGCTGTAAGGCCTACTATATTCCAGAGGGTCCAAGTACCCAATATTTAGCTACTTGGGTTTTGGGTAATTGTAACTATAGTACAGGTTTTGGTAAGTATATGATTACTGGGTGCTTGGACCCTTAGGGTAAGTAGGTACTAGGCCGAAGCCTGCAAGTAGAGCTTGGGGTTAAGGCACATAACGGGGTTGTCTGGGACTCGCGGGAGAGGTCCTGTCGGAGCACGAATGCTCTCAGCTTGATGCGCCCAGGCGTGTCCATCAATGATTTCACCGATGGAGCATTGTTGGGCCAGGTCTCACATCTGCAAGCGCTGTGCGGCACGTACAATGGCACAATGGTGCGCACGTTTGCTTGCAACACAATGCTTTCTGGCATACCTTGCCTTTTGGGAGATCTGGTGTACGTTCAGACCCCAGCAAACGTGGCCTGCAGGGTGTATGCAGTGGTCTAGAGTGACCGGGTGCTTGTTTGGGTTTCTGTAGGGGACATTACAAATCAAGACTTGTATAGCCCTTAGTCATGACACGACCCTCATATTCGCAGATCGTCTTCATGTTAACCCCCAGAAGCTACAAGCGTCCCATTCAAGGGTCGGAGCACCTAAAAATGCTCCTTTTATCTTTCACTTCCCTTCACCATTTCCATGCTGTACCCCCAACCCTAAACCCTGCACCCGAAAGCCCAACCCAGAACCCCGAACTTTATTGAAAGCCACCCAGAGGGCTAAGGACACCTTAACCAAGGATTGTTTATATGTATATATATATATATGTATGTATACCCTAATTGATGCTAGGGTCCCTAGGCCGTAAACCTTAAATCCTGAACCCTGAGGCTCAAACAGTGAACCCTAACCCAAAGCCCCAAAATCTAAACGCTTCCAAGGCATTTTATTTTGGCGGATTCTTGGGGATACCTGGGCAAACCTTTGTCACTACAACTGTCACCAGAGCCCGAGGGTCCGAATCCCTAAGCAAAGTAGCATGGAACCCAGTGTTACAACCTGCTTCTTGAAAGGCAGTGATCCTATGAGGGGAGGGTAAGAGCAATGGCCCTTTTTGACGTTTTGGTTTTATTGTGGGTTCGCGGCCATACTTTTGCCTAGTTTTGAGGTCCTAAAGCCCCAAACCTTAGACCTGAAGTTCTATGCTGTTAAGCTTCAGAGGTTAGAGTTTATGGTGAATGCACAGTCCTGGAAAATTGCAACCCTTTTTAAAATCCACTGGCATAATGTTCCCCAGATACCCTGGATACCCACTATAAGTATTTACGCCACTACATTGCAATCCATGAGACCGGATGCCTTTCCAGCCTCTCTAGTCAAACTTGTATTTGTTCTTAAGTCAGAAGACCCCTACCTTAAAGATTCTATCACGGATGCCCGAGCTACCCCGCCCACTATACGACCCCTTCGGTTCCCCTTCGGTTTCCCTATTCAGGAGCTTTAGTTAGCTCTAGTTGTCCTGAAGTTGCCTGAATTAGGGGGAGACTGGGTGGGGGTGTAGCAATTGGGGGACCCATGCTTAAAGCAGGAAGCCAATGCCTTAAATATCTAGGCCCTACATAAGCCTTGCGCTGCCAAAGGCTGAGTGCTCTCTATGGCGCAAGCACTGCGCTAGGGGAAACTCCGCTTGAGCCCAAGGATATTCGGGGAGCCCAGTACCTTTTGCAGAGTCTTCCGTCTATATCCATATATCAAAATTTGGTAGGGTTGTTTTTCAGGATAGGGGACATGCGTGGGAGGGGTGGAGAAGAAAGGCAAGCTATTATACGGATTCGCAGGGAAGGCAATATCCCAGGAGGAAGCAACATTCCTTGAAACACTTTAGGGGTCTTAGCATAATTTAGTGCGTTAATTATGGTGTCGGGGCCCTTTGGGTGGTTTGTGATTCAGGGTTTTTGTGTTTAGAGCTTTGTTGTCCAGGAATCGTGAGCTTCCCACACCCTCTAGTTACTATCTGTTGAATTCACCAAAGTGCCAAAATAGGTTTGATGTGTAAAGCGCCAGGGATCTTTTTTCGGGTGTACTCCCCCACCATGCCTGCACGAGACCATGAACAAGTCTCATTGATTCAGAGCATGTTTGCATACATGTGGTTGCGGGCGAGACAGGGGATTGGTATTTCCAATGGGGATACCAACATCTTCAGTCTGAAGTGAGATTAGAATTTCGGGGTAGCATATTTCCTATTGTAAAATGTAATCATACCCCTAAACCTATAACCCACCTTGCCTCATAGTCAACCCAAATCACTGCTGCGTTTAATAGCTGAGTTGTAAGTACTTACAATGTGCATGGAGCCTCAAGTAAACCGTGGAAACACCTTGCAATTCGAGAGGTTTGCAGCATTCTCTAGCCCCAGGCCCGACTTGGAGTGTAGAACCCCCAATAAGTTTGGGCTTGGGCGCTAGGATTGAGGGCTGGAAGCCCAAGAAGCCCTAAGAACTATCATTAGCGTTTGGGTATGCAAAAAAACAACCCATGTTAATACGCATCGAAATTTTTAATCAAGACTTCAAAGCAAATGCGACCCCCAGCCTCAACTTTTTCGACTTCAGTTTTCTGGGTTATACTCAATAAGTTCTTACTAAACTCTAGGTCATTAAGGCTACAGGTATTGTTTACTGGTGTTTAGTAGGGAAGAAGGGAATATAATTGCAATATAATCCCTAAAACAATTTGTTCCCTTACTACTGCCCTTCAGTAAGCTAGACCCTAAAACCCTAAACTCTTAAACCCCAAACCCTAAAACCTAAAAGCCTAAGCCCGAAACTCTAAACCCTCAAGCCCGAAACCTTTAGTCCTCAAGTCAAGTCTCCCAACCTGGGTCGTTTTAGGGTTTTATTGGTTTAGGGTTGTGTTTGAAGTCCAAGCCCACTGGGCAGCGCAAATCTTGGAGAGTTACATTCCAATGTTGAACCTGAGGCCTGAAAATCCTGCCTAGCTTAGATCCCTAAAGAGGCTGAATCCTAAACCCTAAACCCCAACCCTAAAGCTCCTAAACCTTGAGAATGCCTCGCTGAGGTCCATGGCCGCTGTTGTGTCGCAGCTGAAGGCCATCAATGCCTTCAACTCGCCCTACAGGCAGCTGAGGGGATTTGGGGCTTTGCGTTCAGGATCCACAGGCGGTTGGGGGGATTTCGGGTTTAGGGTTTGGGGTTTAGGGTCTACAGGCGGTTGGGGAGATTTAGGACCAATTAGTCGGAACTATCCCGCGAATAGTGGGTATAACCCACATGACATAACAGCACCTAACTGGTGTCAGAGATACCCGTACTAGTACAGTAGAAGTGTAGC